AGATTAAAACTGATAAAACAAGTTTAAAAAAGAGACTTTTCCATTTGATTACATTTTGTATGATGGATTATGTAGAAAAAGTAGAATTGGGCTGAAAGATATATCGCTTTATCACCTCTTCAGGTTGTAAATCGTGTTTTTAAAAAGTAACTAAGTAACTACCGTAAGTAATTAATTACTTTTGAAAATAAGTAATCAGTAAAGTAACGGGATTACTTTTTTGGGGAAGTAATCAGTAATTAGTTACTGATTACTTTTTTCAAATAACTTGACCAACACTGTTCCATTGGTATTTTATGATGTGTGTATGGTGTAAATATTTAAATATAACTTTGCCACATTTTTAATTGTAGGAATCTTCTTGTTTTTGTGGTTACAGATATCTTCACAAAAACATTGAGCAGACCCATGAGAGGAGAGGAGAAGTAAAGAAACTAAAGGAGCAACTGGCAGTCCTTCAACAGAAACTTGAGTGGTAAGTTTTATCCTTTCTTTTTTTTAAGGTCAAATCTCCATCTAATTATCTGCTTTCTTTACTCACAGTTATAAAAACTATGGCTCTGGACCTACAAAGTACCCTCTAGCTGACATGCTCCAGTTTGTGCTGGAGTTTTCTACCACCAAGCCGACTAGCGTTTCCCCAGCTGAAGACTCGAGACAGGCCGCATCGTCACCGACTCCTCCAAGTGCCCCCCTCAGTGAAGCCATTGCCAAAGAAAGCAGGTGTTTACCTTTTTCAACTCTACTCTTCTTGTATAGAGCAACAGCATTACACTCACCGAGGCCACAAGTGGGATCTCGAAAAGGAAATCATCTTTTAATAGATTTAATTTATTCTTTAAATGGGAAATCCTGACATGCTTGTAACTGCTGTGTCGTTGTTCTTGCCTTCTTTAGTGATCCCGGAGAATCCGTTTCATCAGAGAGCCTGGGTTCCAGTGTTTCCAGTTGCCAGAGGACCCCCATATACAAGCCCTTCACTCAGTGCAGACAACCTATTGACTGCCCACCACACCCTGCCCCCCACAGCATCACAGAAGAAGAGCTGCACTTTGCTAAAACCTGTCTTCAGCGTTGGAGGACTGAAGTTGAGAATGACATAAATGGTATGCTAATGATAATTCTCTTTTTATACCCACATTGATATTACCTTAAAGATTTACTTATATTGCTTTGTAAGCATCATATGAAATCATAACATCCTTCAGCTTCCTTTGTGTTGTGTTTTCAGTTGTTAAGCTGCAAACGATTTGTCTTTTGGTGCCTTGCTTGAGGGTTGATAAGTTCAGAGTGAGTAAACCAAAACAATGAAGCTGCATAGTATAAAACCCAAACATGCATAGAGTAGAGTGGGGTCATAAATCTCCTTGGGTTTTTTACCTTGTCTGGCATATTCCACATTATATAAACTCACTTGAACACCCAGTAATAAAAACACTGTGCTTAAAGATATGCTTCAATAAAACTGCTGCCAAACTGGATACAGCAGATGATGATGATGCATTAATGTGGGTAGCCTTGACAGTGAAATTGCAATGAGCCCCACGGTTTCCAGTGACACTTGGTCTGCTACACTTATTCGCCATCTTCAGTGGAATAAAATACATTTCATTAAATATAAGTGCTGCAGGTGAGTAAAGAACAAAAAGTGTACTGGCACAGAGCTGTGCACCTGCACAAAAATAGAGCCAATGTTCTTCTGCTGACTGTGACTCATTCAGGCGCAGACAATACATCAGAATATGTTAAATGTCAAGATGAGTCATATTTCTTTGAATACGGGTGATAGACATTTGGCCGGCTCTCTCAACTTCCCCATTATGGCACATATCATATAAAATGTAGGACAGCTATGCAAGCATGCAAATTAGTATTATTCAGATTGACTTATTTTTGTTCCAACAGTTGTGAAAATCATTTCCTTTCAGGGTCTGTGTTTATTTTTTGCTTGTTTGCCAGAACTAAAGGCCAGCATTGACAGGCTCACTCAGACGCTCGAGGGCATGTACTCAGACAACAGTCTCTGCCAGGTAAGGCCTGCACACTCACCTAATTTAGCAATTCAATTACATATTTTACATCTGCAGCTGTAGAAAGTGAATGAGCTGAGATTAGATTAAACTTTACTGATATCTACAGAGAAACAGAAAATAGTGTCATGTAAACAGGACAACAGGACACAAATAAGAACAGGTCAACTGAAAGTAATGTTGCAGTTCATGGCGAACAGCTGATATTAAGTTGGGAAGCTGGATTCCAGTGTTCTTTCTCTTTCTCTCGTGTGACTCTTAGGCCCCCTACAGACTCCATGCAGTGCTTGTCCATGAAGGCCAGGCATCAGCTGGTCATTACTGGGCTTACATCTATGACCATGCTAACCAGCGCTGGCTGAAGTACAATGACATAAGTGTCACTGAGTCATCGTGGGATGAGCTGGAGCGAGACTCCTTTGGAGGCATGACCAACGCAAGTGCCTACTGCCTAATGTACATTGACGACAGGCTACCTCAGCTCATCACAGGTACACCTACCTTTCAGTTATTTTATTTTTAAGAGGAAATGAGAGGAATGAAAGCTATTTTTGCAGAGCGTTCTCCGTTTACTTGATGCAAAGAGGCAGTTCAGAGGTTTCAGCTGCTCTCTCCAGTGCAAAGATTCCTTTGTCCAACCTTAATATTCAAGAGAGGAATGCTATCAAACACCTGAGCAGAAACCAAAGCATCAACATACTATAGCTGACAAGCGGAGGTGTACCATTCAAGTCAATTCAACTGAAATATATATATTTTTAAAACAAAGGTTTATCACTTTGTTTATTAGCCAGGATTTATTTGAGATTTTATAGATTTATAAATGTATACCAAACTAGTACATTTCATTTGCCAAATTCAAGTAAATTTAAAATGCACACTGTATTTATGAAACAAAATGCTCAGCATATCATTATAAAAATGGTTTGTCAAGAATTCCTCATTCCAGTATTCAATTCAGTTCAGTTTTAAATAGCTCGAATCACGACAATAGTCGCCCCAAGGCGCTTTATATTGTAAGATGATGGATACAAGCACTTAGCGACAGTGGGAAGGAAAAACTCCCTTTTAACAGTAAGAAACCTCGGGCAGAACCAGGGTTAGAGAGGGGCTAGAGGTGAGAGGAGGGGGAGACAGGACAAAAGAGATGCTGTGAGTGTGCATAAATACATGTAGAGTGAAAGAAGAGTGAAAGAACGGTTATTAAAGAAGAAAGAACACTCTGTGCTTCATTGCAAGTCCCCCAGCAGCAAAGGTCTGTTGTAGTGTAACTAAAAGATGTTTTTTTAAAGTCACCTGATCCAGCACTAACTATAACCTTAGGAAAGTTTTGAGCCTAATCTCAAAAGTAGAGAGGGTGTCTGTCTCCTGAAACTAAACTGGAAGCTGGTTCTGCAGAAGAGTGACTATTCTACCTATAAATACTGTAGTAACCACAAGCCAGCAGTCTGTGAACTGCTGAGTGAGTCTGTTGGGGTGATACGGTACTCTGAGGTCTTTAAAATATTCAAGACCTTTTATATGAGGGGACACATCACTAGATAGACAGCATCACTTATGTATGTACTTATGTAAGTGCTAAGCAACGTTAAGGATCAAAAAATACATTTTTTCCTGTAACTTGGACTCATGTAGTGAGATTCAGTAAAGATAAAGGAAACTGAAATGAAAACAATTTATGTATAAATTATATGGAGTTCACCCAGTTTAAGTAGTGGCTAGATACTAGAAACTAGAAACGCATAAACATTTTTCTATGCAAACATTTTAAGTATAGTAGCATATTGAAATACCTGTTTGTACAATGGATATTAATATGCATGAATTCAAATGGTATTACTTGAAAGGCATTAAAATGATAATAAATGACAGTTAATTTCCTAACTAAAATGTCTTACATCCCACCCAGAAGACACAGATGATGAGACGGGCCAGGTGCTCCATGGCATGGACTCTCTGCCACCCATCCTCAGGCGCTATGTCCACGAAGATAACCGCTGGTTCCAGCAGGAGCTCAGCGAATGGGAGGAGCAGTTCTGCCAGACGGCAACCCCGCAGGAAGAGTCCACCGCCTCTGCAGAGCCCACAAGTCCCAGTCTGGATAACATACAGCAGTCACCTGTTGAGCCAGCACCCCAGTCAGGATCCACTACTGAAGAGGTGGATGAAGGAGTTGCTCCAGAGCCACAGCCAGACCAAGAAGCAGAGAAAGAGCCAGAACCTGATCTCAGAAAAGAGCCAGAAGGTCTGTAGTGATGCCTGAAAAAGTGAGAATGACATAAAATATTTCATCACCACTCTAGATAATGTGGAGATGTATATGAAACATGTAGTCATTGTAATTATGTTCACACCAGGGCAACTGAGCCAGTTCAATCAAATCTTGAACCTCTTTCAGGAGCACAATGAGCACAGGATGAGACTTAAGAAGCACAAAGTATTATATATCTGTTCAAGCTTTAGCCTAAGGAGCCCAAAAACAGCAGTAGACATTGTATTTAAAAACTGTATGGACCCAAAATATAATTAGCAAGGATAAGCAATTCTCAATAGAAGAAAATCTAATTCTACATGAAATATTGAACTAGTTGATTGCACTTCTTTGTCCAATTAAGCAGGTGTCAGTTATCACTTTCTCTCCAACAAAATCACCTCCCTCCAATGTAGTTTTATTGGCTGTGTAACAAGAGCCCATCAAAAATGTAATGAACACTTGTTACTGCAGAGCTTTCTTAACTCTAGACAGAAGTCTGCCCTCAGGCTGGACAAATAGACTGTATCATTGCTCAGACCTTCTAGGTGGGGTCTCTAATACCAGATGAGATTAGAATATATCCGGTAATCTAATTATATATTTAGCACTTCTTCGTTTCAAAAGACACATGAAGAGTCAAAGCCTGTCTTTCTTTTTTGACCTTAGCGCAAACCGATTTATCTCCCCCACCACCAGAGGGCCCTGGCTGCCAGCCAGGTGATACCAGCACTCCAACAGTCACTGACACCACGGGGGTCAGCCAGAGCTCTGATTCAGAGGAGAAGGAGTCGCAGAATCAGGTGAACAAGTACACGACACCTCGCCCTATCATTCCCTACCCTACCATGTTGAATATGGGTCAGAAATTCTAGGCCACAAAAATAAAGTGCGTCCATCTGGGTCAGCGATCAGATTTCCCCAGTTAGCATGGTGATGACCCTTCAGGACTTATGTAGAGCTTATTTAGAGACCTATTTAGATTAGTGTACAGATAACAAGTAGTTATTTGAAGTAATTTTTGCACTTTTTGTTGTGATCATAATATAAACATAACTGTTTTTGCTGACCCAGATAACCCGCTTCTGTTGAATGCAGATAAGTATTCTGAATCACAATATTTCTCACCATGTTTCTCATTGAATACATTTGTTGTTAGAATTGCAAAGTACTGTAAATTAGCACTTTGAGACACACTGTTCAAGCCAGGTACTAGACTTCCAGAGCTTACTGGTATGCTGACAAGACCCCCAAAAGCTGTGAAAGCATACGCTGATATAAGAGAGTATATACTAACGTGTTCTATCTGAAAACTTTCTCTGTCAGATCCCTGGCCCTGATGTAGAGCTTTGCGATCAGACACCATCTGACATCCACGTAGAGAAGGATGACCCGGAGGTGGCCGGCCTCGTCTCTGAAACTGAAGAAGAGCCCCAGGCTTCTGGAGAGGCTCCTGAACCTATCGCAGAGCAAAGCAATGAGGAGCAGCAGCAGCAGCAGGAGGTTCCAGCCAGACCACGACAGACTGAGAATGAGGTCTCAGAAGTGGAGATCCCCAATGTGGGCCGGATCATGGTGAGGGCGGATGCTGACGGATACAATGAAGAGGTAAGGCCTAATGTCTTAATGGAGTGTGATTTAAGCAGTTATAAATACATACCTGCAGCTGATAGCTTTCCTAGTCAGTGGACACAAATATAAGCTAAATGATCAAATGCAGGGTTAATGTAAATGTTGATGAGATTTAAAGAGATACAATAGGTTTTGAGTCATATATCATATGTGTCATATGTTTTTTCTTTGTTTACCCTTTGGACTAATTATCTGTCATTTCATGGTATAATCATTCTCTTTTTTCTCTACATTGTCATGTCATTTCCCAGATGATGCTAACTCCAGCTATGCAGGGTGTCATTCTAGCCATAGCCAAGGCCAGACAAATTTTTGATAAGGAGGGTCCTGAGGCTGGCCTCATCAAGGTATTTTTTGTTTGGGATATTGATGTTCTTTTAATCACACATCAACTCTAAATTGCAAAAAATCTGTAAAAGCTGTATGACTGATTTGACCTGATTTAGACCCAGATACTCATAAACTGTCCTTGGATCAACCCGTGCTCTAATTGCAGTTTTTATCTCTCTGCGAGACAGTTTTATTAAAAATCCACTCAAAAACAAAAATGCGCATTTTATGGGACTTTTTCGCTAGAAGTTAATCCCTGAAGGAATTCCTTTTATCCTAAACTGGAGGTTCTCTTGCAATAAGCTCGGGAAGCAAGATTCACTTTGCAGGGTGAGAAGCCTCTTGAAGTATTCTTTCTGTATTTGATAAAGAACTTCTATGAAGCACAGTGTTTCATATTTAAAAAGATTAACATCAATAGCAAGATCTGTATTTTAACTTTGTCACTAAAGTCATGATGAAATCCCCATATTTCCTAGATTTTAAACAACAAAGAAAATACTTTAACTTGTGAAATGTGCGGTCCTTGTATAAGTCACACTGAGGCCTTAAAGTGTACAATTAATTAAATAAAGCATTAAAAACATTAAAATTTCCCGTGGTTCTTTCAGGCTTTCCATGAAGAGTATTCGCGCTTGTATGAGCTCTCTGAAGAGGAGACCACACCACAGGAGGATGCACGTCTGCAGCACGCTCTGGTCTACTTCTTCCAGAACAAGGCACCCAAGCGTGTCATTGAGAGGACGCTGCTTGAGCAGTTTACTGACCGCAACCTCAGTTTTGATGAGAGGTGCACACAGTCCTTGAGTGGCCAAAATAATTGTAACACAGATGAATTTTATCCTAGATTACCCCAAATAAAAAAGTTTATAAATGAACTAACATAAAACAGAGGCATTTCAAGGTTGTAGCGTGTGTGTATATACAGGAATAGGAGTGTAATACTGTGGCTGGAAAGCAGAATGGTAACTAAAAATACAGTAGAATATATAGCATGCATATTGTGCCATCTAGTGTCCAGAGTTCAGAGCTGTAACTTTACAGTATCTTCTCCTTTCCATGCATTTGCTGTTAAACTTCATTTATCATTTTTGGTACTTACAGAGGCATCAGTATCATGAGGGAAGCCCGGGCCAAACTTCGTCTCATTAAGCCAGAAGACATGGACATGGAAGAATACATGGTACCGTCTCTAGGCTGAACGGATAAAATGTTTGATTTTTTTATGCAGGGAAAACATCATAAATATGCAAATAAAGAAATTAGTATAATTTTCAAACAGATATTTGATGAAAAAATGTCATTAGGTCCATGATGCAGTATGGCAGTGATCTGTAACAGCAGCTGAGACTTGCCCCCAAAACAGAACAGGGGCAGACATCTGTTAAGTAGCTTCACTGGGTTGAATTTTTGTTCCACTGCTGAGCATCTGTGGAAAATTAGTGGCTCTGTTAACAGATTTGTGGCCAAATCACCTCATTCTTGCCTTTAATAGCAATAAAAGGCTAAAAATCCAAAAGTAAAAATAGACACCCTGCACTGCTCTCAAATGTCAGTTTTATTAAGTATTTTGCGTTTATAAAAATATTATTACATGGTTATCTCAGCTTTATGAAGGAAGTTTGTTTGTGTTCAGTATATTAAATCCCTAATCTGTGTTTATTTGGGTCTGCGTGGTTGACATTCCAGTAGGGAGCATGTAAACCCAGTGACATTTGTTCACACTGGAATGAGAACTATGTCCAGCATGGAAAGACAGCTGGGATGGTGAAGACACCAATCACAGACTGCAGTAATAAACTGTTTCTTATATCAAGAATCTAGCATAAACCTAACACCAAACTTGTCTTTGATTAAATGGTAGGTCCGGTGATATTCTCTATGTCTTTATATCTGTGCAGCCTCTAACAGTCTGATTTTACTTCTTTTTTTTTCTTTTCTTTTTTTCTACAAAATAGAAGTTTTTATTTAAATACTGTCAAGTGGAAAAAATAGGAGGAGTGTAAAAGAGGGAATTACGTGATGGTGATATTTCTGTTTGCTCTCTCACAGCAGTGGCATGACGATTACAGGCTGTTCAGGACGGTCTTTGTCTATCTGTTGACTGGGCTGGAGCATTACCAGCACGGGAAGTAGGTGTCGAATATTCAGCACAACCCTACCCGATCAGCATGTGTCTGACCACATTTTTCCAGATTAATATATGGTTGTTTGTGCTCATTCGTGCGTTACACATAAAAAAAATCTCACACATCACTGATCCTTTTGACACTGCCTATTAAGTTATGAATTCTTTACACAGAGTAAAGATGCACTCATTTAAAGCCAGGATATACATACCAAAGAATAGTTAATGATAGTACAGTTCAGATATCTATATCCTTGAATACTATAACTTTAGAGTAACATAACACGAAACAATTTCTAAAAGCATGGGGACCCTCATTTTAAATACTTTTCATATGTTTTCAGATCATAAAACTAAATATTTTGCTTACATTTTGATTACATTGTGTGGGAAATAACCATTTCTTTTTTTACAAAAAGTGTATTTTTTGTGTAATATGACAGCAGTTGTTGCCTTTGCGTACTGCAGGATGCGTGAGGCACTGAATTACTTGGCCCACGCCTACGAGACCAACAGCACCCTGCTGCGAAACGGAGAGAAACGTGGTGTGGACAAGTCTCTCATTGCTGTTTACAGGAGGAAGTGTCTCACTGTGAGTAGGACTATTTTCCACTCCGTCGAATTGCAGATAGATCGCTGAGCTCGATTCTTCTCTATAAAGTCTGAAATATCAATAAAGAAAAATTATCTAAAAATAAGAGGTTTTGGTTTGCTTAAAATAAGATGTTTGCAGATCATTAGAATCCATCCTCTGGGAGTGATCCATGTCCCCCTGACATTTTCTAAAATATAGTTCTCTGTACCAAAAATGTGGATAGAAGGACTGACTGGCCAAGAGGGCCACATTTAGGAGAGGAAATGTTTTGATAAGCTGCGCTTGGTTTAGTTTCCCATTACAGCCTGTATAAAATCTAGTCGGACAGTATTAGAGCAGGAGTAGATTTGTTCTCCAATGTATTGAATTTTATAAAGTATATTGACTTGGAAACGACGGTTCTTTAATTGCTGTTTTGCAGCTTTTGATTGTGTCTCTCGAACCTTTACTTTTAAAATGCCCTACATTTAAAATAGTTTAGTATCAATCTCATTTTGAATTTGATGGCAGCAACACGTCTCAAAAAAGTTGGGACCAAGGCAACGAAACGCTGGAAGTGTGAGTGGTGCTAAAAAGAAACCGGTGGAGGAACAATTTTCACTACTTAGGTTAACTGGCAACAGGTCAGTTACATGATTGGGTAGCTAGTCAGGCAGCGTTTCTCCTAAGTAAAGCAGACAGAGGTTCACCAATCTTCAAAAAGAAAATGTGTCTGCCAATTGTGGAAAAATTTCAGAATAATGTTCCTCCATGTAAAATTGCAAAGACTCGTGAAATATCATGAAAAGGTTCTAAAATTTGGAAAAATCTGAATGCCTGTGATTTTCAGGCCCTCAGGCAGCACTATAATAAAATCAGGCCTGATTCTGTTATGGAAATCACTGCATGAGCTCAGGAAGACTTCCTGAAACTGGCGTCTGTGAATACAGTTCCCCATATTATCTGCAAATGCAGGTTAAAGCTTTGTCACGCAAAGAGGAAGCCATATATGAACATGATCCAGAAAGGCTGATGTTTTCTCTGGGTCACAGCTCATTTAAAACGGACTGAGCAAAAGTGGAAAACTGTTCCGTGGTCATGGACGCTGCATCCTCTGGACAAAAGAGGAAAGGGACTATCTGACTTATCATCAGCACTCAGTTTAAAAAGCCTGCATTAGTGCCTATGGAATTGGCAGTTTACACATATGGAAAGGCTCCATTAGTGCTTAAAGATATATACAGGTTCTAGAACAACTTGTGCTCCCATCTAGATGACAGTTTTTTCAGGAAAGACCTTGAATATTTCGGCAAGACAATGCTAAACCGCATGCTGAATCTATTACAACAGCATGGCTTCATGCCCTGCAGTCCAGACCTTAAAACAGCTGAAAACATTTCATAAGCATAATCAAATGAATAAGATAAAACAAGGAAGCTCAGGACTGTTGAGCAGCTAGAATCCTCTATTAGACAAAAATGAGACAACATTCCCAAAAGTTCAGCAGCTGTTTTCCTGAGATCCCAGATGTTTACAGACTGCTGTTAAAAGGAGTTGAGAGGGCTACACAGTGGTTCCAGTGCTTGTGATTAAAATATACGGTGATAACATGTGCAAATCATTGTATTCTGTTTTTTTAACACTTTACACAGCATCCTAGCATTTTCAGAACAGGGTTTGTACATATGTCCTGTCATCCACCACACAGGCACTAAATGAGAGCGCATCGCAGCTATTTTGCAGCGGTGAGGAGGCCAAAGTAGAAGAGGGTATTGCCATCATGGATGAGGCCGTCATCCCCTGCCTTCACCTGATGAACCGGGACTCGACTTTACCCCAGGAAGACCGAGATGCAATGGAGGCCATCCGCAGCCACTGGTGCTGCTGCCTGGGCCGAGACATGGATCGTAAGTTTAGATTGTACATCAGTCTGTACCGTCCAGCTCTATTATTCTTGTAGCTGTATACATGATGTCTCATATGATGAGCTAGAAGTTTTAATTACAGCAGCTCAAAAAGAAATAAATATATAAGGTGGCTTGCTGCCATGCTTTTTGTGCATTTTCTGCAATACCGACTTTTAGGATGCTTTTAGGTTGCTGTAGGGTTTGCATCAAAAATGTCAAAATACACTCAATTATTTTTTAACTTTCAATAAATACAAATCATTAATTTTCAGTTAAATGCAACTGAAATATATGAAAGAAAAGGTTTATTTTTTCAAATAATTCATCACTGAGGAAAATGTGCTTGATATAAACTGGATGTATACCAGTAAAGTAAATTTCATTTGACCAGATTCCATTAAATTTTACATTATGACTTATGTAACAAAATTATATGGAAAATTCACATGTAATCAAATTACTTTAAGTCAGCATGTTGGTGCATCTTGAATAAATATTTTATGTGTATACAGTAGATGAGGATCCCTTATTCTGAGAGTTTGAAATACATTTAAATTAAAAGGAATGTGGGACAGAGGCATAAAGGCTTATATTGAGTCAATACAGTATAAAGTTTGCATACTCAATAGTGTAGGTGCACCCTTAGACAACATTTTGCTGTAATTACACACATACATTTAATTCTATACCAGTAATGCTGCTAGCTAATTAAAATTTAAACCTTAAATTGAAACAAAACTGCAATAAAGAAAATCAACAATAAACTAAGTCGCTCACTTCTGCTGCTCTTCCTTTGTGTTCAGAGTCATTGCAGGTGAAGCTCGGCGAGTTGCTTCCCAGAGTTCTGGACGGTTCAGCTGACACAGTAGTGCTTAAAGACCCACCCAAAGTCCACGTCACCCAGGCCTACGACCTGTGCAGTCGCCTGGCTGCTGTTATGGAATCCATCCACAACACATCAGTGGTCATTGTGAAGTGAAATCCCAACAACTCTTTTTAAACTGTGTATCTTAACTGAAAGTGTCCCGGCTGATGGTTTCTTCTCCACTGACAGACTGTAGGGCTGAGACATCATGTAGTTTTAGCACAGATTGTTTATTTTAGTATATCTGCTGTTTTGCATTGCACACTTGCCTTGTTCACATAGCAAACCCTGTGGGTAAATGATGGACCATGCAGGGCTGTCACCACACGAATACATAATTATTACAAGAACACATATCGTGGCATTTTACCCCAAAAGCCTCAAAAAGAAGTCAATGTTTTTCTCAAGAATATTAAGGTATGCACTTTGACTGCTCACCATACGCAAACAGGTATAATGTGTAAAAGAGGTACAAACTGTACTTAAAATAAAATAAACTCTAAAGCGGGAATTATCTTTTCAGGTAACACCTAAATGTTTGAAACTTGTCTGAAACTGTCTTTATGTTACCAGCTACAAAGAGACCGATAAAGATTTAAGTAGCTCTGACCATCTCAATTTACAAAACCAGCTTGCTGGAGAACAGTGAGGCATTGAAATTCTGATTGGTGCAAATGTTCATATATGGAAATGTTTAGCTGGGCTACCCCGTTAACTTGAAAAAGTGTTAACAGTTGTCCTGTCGCTCAGCTCTGCAGTAAGTGACTGGATTGATATTTGGATTGTGAATATACAATGGGGCCTTTTTACAAGACTAAAAAAAACCCCACAATTTTTGTTGTGCAGAGAATATTATTGTTTTCTATATTTTTTTTAAATATATGTTTTATATTACTTTATTATCTTTGAAGGTCTATCTGTAAACGCTGTAAGCCTTTTGAAAGGAGACTTGATATTGGAAATTCTGTTTTGTGTCGCAGATGCAACACGTTATCGTGAATGAATAAGGATTTCTAGATGAGCTACTGTAACAGCCATTTTTGCCCACTGATTTCAGTCTTTCACTTGTGCTCTGTGATGATACAAATAAATGTTTTAAATACTCTCTGCGTGCTTATTATTGAGGCTATTATTGTGACTTGTGTGGGCAGGCTTTGAAGCTGTTCCAGCTGTTGTTCCTTCCCAAAACCAAAGCAGCATCACAAACACCCAAACAGAATTAATCCGCCTAAGGAGTTTGGCTGTTCCCCAGTAAGTATTAAAGAAAAATAAATCAATGAGCAGCAATGTTTGGGGATTTTTTTGCATTATAGTAAACATCTTATTTTGGATAGATAGCACATATGCCATGTGTTTTAATCCACAGAAGATAATTGATAATGCCCATTTCCGGGCTGGCTGCTTCTTCCAAGGAGTCATACTTTATTGTATTTTTTTTTCAAGTTGCCTTGTGCACAAGTTGTCTTTATGCATATAAGACAAGGCTCTGTCATGGTTTGGTATTTCAGCCAGTGGTGTTGGAGATTGATGGAATTATGAACACAGAAAAGGACCATCAAATTTGGATCTGCCATGCAAAATTATCTAGAAAGTATCTGACTAGCAACAGCTTCAACATGGCAGTAATCCCAAACACACTGCGCAGATGCAGTAAATGCTTACCTGGTTAAAAAAGACACAATTGAACACTATCGGCCATGGATTGGCCTCCTCAGCTTCCAGAAGCAGTGTGGGATCATCTTGACAGAGAGCAGAACAAATGCAGGCAGCATCCAAAGAAGAGCTTTGAATCTCCTTCAAGACCCCTGGAGAACAATTCCTGGAGTTACTTTAAGAAAGTACAGGACAGCTTACCTAAGACACCCAGTTGCTGAAGAGTAAAGGTGGTCACACCAAATATTGATTTTCAAGCTTGTTAGAATTGTATAAACTATGTTTGTCCTCAAATATTGTATTTTCACTGATGTTTGCTTGCTTTTTTAACTACATGTATTTTCCTAGAAAAATATAATGAAATAAGAAGGGCTCCAGACTTTTGCACAGTACTGTAAATCTACAATAAGAACCAGTTATGTTACAGAAGTCAGACACACTTACCTCTCATTGGCCTATTAACAGATTTCTTTACATTAGGATAATACCAGATTTAGTTGGATTTTTTCTTCTTCTTTTACTCCCAATGAATTAATTTCATCTGCTGATTAGACCACGTGTAAATCTATTGCTATTTATGATCTCTCTGCAGTTATACTGAGATTAAGACAATAATACTTGAGAGTCAGAGTTGGCACGAGGTGGATTAAGATCTGATTTTCGCTAGTCAGCATTGTTGAAGGATGTCAAGGGGGGCTGTTGATATGTCTACAGCTGTTTGAAGTTTTCAGGACATGTAGTGTTATTGTTCCATCTGAAGTTCATCATTTGAGGAATGCAGCAACATTTTTAAAGGAGCATAGAAGTCCAGTGTTTCCCCTGGATTATATCTGGGACCACTTCAGCACACACACTGCTCTTTACAAACAGCAGTGACTGTTCTGTTTGTAAAGAGTTTCGCAATTCTCACAGCAGGTGCAAAGGCATGACCAGCTACTTTCAGCAACTACATAGGTATTCAACAACAAAAGCATGTATGCAAATTAAATAGACAATTTGTCAAGAGTTACTCTTAAAATATAATTTCAAAAACAACCAAAAAAAGATCTCTACAGGTAAGTAGTTTTGTGCATAAGGCAAGATTTCTCATAATATACAATACAATATTTTCAGCCACAGGAAACTGACATGAGTGGCAAGCGGAGCCTGGCTCCTGGATGAAAAATCTTTAAATAGATGCATCTAAAAAAAAAAAATTTTGACAGCAGTAAATGCACTTCCACATACTGGCATTTTGCTAGTGCCAGTGGTGTGAGGGATATAACCACTCTGTCAGCTTTACAGAGGATATTACCTCCAAAATAGCCCTGGATGATCTTACCCACCAGTTACAGTTAGTTGCACTTTTGAGTTTGATCTAAAATTAACATTACAGGTCTTATTACATACTTTAAGAGGTATAATAACATTATTTAATTTATGTATCTTATTAACCCAGTGAGAGGCCTACTTTAGAGATTGTGACATAAAGCATTGCTGGGTCTAGAAACAATCGAAACATGGTGCAAGTCATTATTTTTCTAAACCCAGTCTAGACAACTATTTATGCTTATAATGCAGTGTTACTGGGAACAGGATTCACTGTTAAACTTTCTATAATTATTTTTAAGTGTTTTATGTGGAATTATTTTATGCATTAACAATGAAAGGGGCTTTTTGAACAGTCTTCCTTGTATTGTAGGAGACACCGGGAGGCTTCAACCTGCTTTTATTTTGAAAGTTACACGCCCAAGCGGAAACCTTTTATTTTAAGGACTTTAGTTTTCCTCAGCTTCCGTTCTGCACTCTGCTGGGACCGCACCATCCGAACCAGGAAACCAGGCGGCAGGTGAACTTACTTGGAATTGAAGCGCAACTGTCGGCAGGTTGTCGGGGTATGGAGGAGAGCAGTGCAGTTGGAGGACCTGGTTCAGATGCAGGAGTGAAACGGGGGTACTTTTATTGATTAACTACAAGCCAAGAGCGGAAGTTGTTTGACTAAAACACCCGGAGAGGACCGGAGAGCGTTCATTTGTCGGGTGGCAACGTGGAGAGAGGACTGTCTCGGAGTTTGCACCCGTAATTAAAAGGCACTTTGGCGGATAGGTAAGACGGAAAGTTAAGGAACAGGCGAACTTGCTGAGAATGGCTAGCTAAATAAGCTAGCTGGTAGAGACCTGCTTTTTCTGAATTTTGTTATGGTGCTCATATCAGGTGAAGATGGACTCAGGCTAAAATGCGCACCAGATTTTTTGCATAAGTATTCGCATTATGTCTTCCGGCTTTTACTGTTTAACGCTGACTGAAATAACAGCGGTATTTTAGCTTTCTGTTAGCGAAACTCTGTAAACGGATCCTGCCAACTTACCAGAGTTCTAAATATACATAGAGACGTAAAGGTGCACCCATCTGCTGAAACGTGTTACCCCTGCAAAATCATGGGGCCACCGTTTTGCACTTGTCTGTCTGTGTGTGTGTATATATAGATAGATGGAGAGAAAGAGAGTGGGCGAGATAGTGCGCACCACTATCTATATATCTAACTATCATAAGCACTGACGCATTAATGGTTGAAGTGCAAACTGTAAAATTCAGTGGTTTGTGTTTGCACAGCCTGTGCTTGCACATCGTGAAGGGAGATAGACGTACTGCTGCTGTGCAGTTTGTTGAATATTGTTGTTGAGTGCATCACTTTAGAATATGCCAGTGGATATGTGCTTATATATACATGCTTAAGTCTTTGCTTTTTTCATGTGTTTTTACTCATGGCATGGCTGTTTGTATTCATGCGTTAACTTTGTCTTTTTTTCCACAATAGTGATTTCCTGTTCCCTCCCTTTAGCTCCCCTGGCTCTTTGCCAATAGGTTGTTGGTGCAAAACATTGTTGAGACAGCCCCCCATCTTCTCTCTTGCTCTCTCACACACAGAGTTTGGGAGTATTTGGATAGTGAGCTCCTGTGATTGATGGTCAGGAGAAAACACAGCAAAGATAAACATTCACAACCGAGCATTTCTTTATATATAAACTTTATTGGGTTACTATGATAACATCGCAGTTAATAAACTGAAGGACCCATGATGTATCTTTTTGTTTTTTCTTTTTTTGTAATATGTAAACAGACCTAGATATGGGCAGGAGCTGGTAAACCATCTTGGCTATAAATGCTGCAGTATTGTATGGTTAAAAATATGAATGTCACAGATTGATGATTTATGAGCTACAATTGTCCACAGCAGCATCACCAAATGTAAATTTTTGTATCTGATGCGTATCTCCTGTGACCACAAGGGAAGTTTTCTGTTTTCAAAATGAGTCACTTAAAAAAAATGTTGGTTTTGTTAAATGTCCCACAAGGTTAACACTGTCTCCTGCTTCTCAATCAATCATAATTTGGTGATTAATTTGAGGAAGTGCTTTCAAAATAAAGTTCATGGTAATGTGATAGAATAGCAGTTAACAGCTGTGACTATATTTAGAGCTAAGAATCACGCTAAAGTGGCTTCATCTTTTGCATA